GCTTTAAAATTTTTGTTCAATTGACAGTTGATAATCAAAGGAAGATATAGTTGATACAGCAAAACAGATTTTAGCATAGAGATTTTTCTTTTTTAGTTTATAATATTATTTAAAAATTACTCCTACGGAATCCGCAGTCATTTCACTTCTAATCCAAAACTCATCAAATTTTACAACAAAATGACCATTTCATTAGACCGAGATAATTGTGTTTATGACTAGCCAAGTCTTTAACTACTGGCCGCTGTTGGAACGGTCAAATCAGAGTCTGACAAACGCAGAAACTGTTACAGCACGCAAGGCAATAGTATCAAATGAAAGCAAAATATGTCAAGAAACATGTTTGCAACTGTGTCCAGAAGATAGCATTGCCAACAACGGATTGAACACAACGAATTGAATGTGCGCGTGAAACAAAGTATCTACGAACTTCCATTTATTAAGTTGCAAAATTTTTTAAAGATATACACACATGACACACACACACACGAACACGCACACACACACACCCACACACACACACACACATACTCACACTCTTATATAATTGCATGCAGAAAGTTAATTTTAAACGGTCTGGTGCAAATTTTAATATATTTAAATAATATTTAAATTATTACTGGCGCGAACGGGAAAGGAATAAAAGCGAGAGAGAGAGAAAAAAAAATAAGACAAAAAAGAGAGAGGGATTATTCTAATAAATAATAATGTGTATGAAAAAATCATAACGGATGAACATTTAAAAAAGTGTTAAAAGAATTAATCTGAAAGAGATGAGAAAATGAACAACAAATAAACGAAATATTTTTTTTGATTCAACGTGACCGTGAACATTAACATATAACTGCATTTCGAGGGAGAGCTTAACTTCTTCACGCAGCTTCTTAGGGAAACCTATCTCAATCTGTCAATCGTAACGAGGCATGTAGAAAATTATTTTGAAGTTAATTTTTTGAAATTTTTACATTAGTTTAAAATCGACACGCATAAATATTAAAAAGAAATTTGAATCGATTTGATAAACCATCGTTAAAACTAATTGGTAATAAATTTTAAAATAAGTTTTAAAAGTCTAGTAGTGACATGCTTACTGATATTTAACTGTTATGCAAGCAACGGGTGGGGCAACAAGATGTGCCCTGGGCAAGTCCCTTGTAATGATCTCACAATAATCATCATTCTTGCTTGCAACAACTTCTCGTATAATCATTCTTAGTGTGTGAGGAGGGATGTTTGCAAACTTCCACAATTTTTGGTTTTCTTCCTGGTGCAGAAAATCTTAAGCTGTTTTTGATGTTCTTAAAAATGTTTTTGTTTAGAATGGTCACTGCGTTCATCCTGTCTCACGTCGTTACTCAATGTTATCGCTATTTACATAGCGACTCATTTAATGATAACATAAGAACCCCCCCCCACCCCCCGTCCCAGGCAACATCGACACCGGCTGCAACTTCTCGGAGAAAGTGGAGAGCAGCACGATGATCCGCTTCATCCGCCTGACCTACGTGCGTCCCTCCAACGACGACTCCAGCGACATCAGCGCCTTCTACAGCCCCCCACCCAGCGTCAGTTACAAAACTTTCCTCCCAGCTCCGACGAAGGTGGGCATGTGCAGGGGGTCGCCAATCTACGAAAACCTCGGATCCACGTGCGATCGCGCCAAAATGTGGTTAAGATGCATCGGTCAGTAAGTGATGGTGGTGATTATGCTTTTGACGACGACGATGATGATGATGATTAAGGGGATGAAAATTATGGCTATGAATAGTAAATAATTACATCAATAGATTTATTTCAATTGAAGGCGCAATAATCAACATAGAAAAACATTTCGCATTCCAACATCACAACAAACTACAACAAGGCATCATCTAAATACCTCATGACATCACATGACAATACGTGATACAAAATAAAAAAATGACGTCAGAATATCATGTGACATCACAAAAAACGTGACATCACATGTCACGAGTGACATCAAATGACAACAGAACGGCGAATAATCGGCGTCGAGACATTTTACCACCCATTAAATTGCATCTGGCACAAACAAGATGGCTGCGAGAGAACTGTGCTGAGAGGTGAGTGGACAACTTCTGGCCGATCTAACAGACAACACAAACGAAGAAGGAAGCTGGTGCACGTTGTCAGGTTGATGCATGTTTGTATGTGGTTGGTGCATGTTTGTATGTGGTTGGTGCATGTTTGTATGTGGTCGGTGCATGTTTGTATGTGATCGGTGCATGTTTGTATGTAGTTGATTCATGTTTGTATGGGGTCGGTGAATGTTTTTATGTGGTCGGTGCATGTTTGTATGTGGTTGGTGCATGTTTTTTATGTGGTCGGTGTTTGTATGTGAGCTGTAGATGTTTGTATGTGGTGGTGCATGTTTGTATGTGACGGTACATGTTTTTTATGTGGTCGGTACATGTTTGTATGTGGTTAATTCATGTTTGGTCGGTGAATGTTTGTATGTGGTCGGTGTATGTTTGTATGTGGCTGGTAGTATATTGACAATATCGCAGAATTTCCTACGGTTCACAAAACATTTTTTGTTTTAATATTTTAGAAGCACAATGCAAAAAAGTCATCATATTAAAAACATTAACATCATCACATCAACGTCATCACATCAACATCACATCTCCATTAATCAGAATACCAAATATCTCTATTCTCATCATTAACACGTTTACCACATCATCATTTCGCAGACAAATTTGTGAAAATTAACTTTTATTATTCTAACTTTTATTAAAAAATTGCCCCCCCGGTCGTCAAATATTTTTCGTAAAAATTTGGCAACCTCCTTCAAAGTTGTCCAGATCCGCCACTGCTTATGAATGTTTGATGCTGTTGTTGATGTTTCAATTTTTAACTGGGGGCCAACATTTTGGGAAGGGCAACTTTTTTGGTAATGTGGTCAGAATTTTTCTTGCCATCTTTTTTCGGCTTATAATGTCAATTTTTTCTTCAAATATTCTACTTTTTCGTCAAAAATAAGACATTTCAAAACCGCACAAAGTTAACAAAAATGAACTTTTAAGTGCTAAAAAAACAAGAGCCACACACGTCGACCACAATTAAACCGCGCCACAAGCCAACCGCATCACCCTAGAACAGTAATCATACAAAATTTGTTCCGAACGACAAACAAACGCCAGCATTGTAACAAAAAAAAAACACAGAAATCATAAAGTATGGAAACAAACAACGGAACATTCTACACAACAACGCAACAACACGTGAACAACATTGAACCATCAACAAAACAAAACATCATAATAACAGCACAACAGCAAAAGTACAACACAACAACATCACGTACATATAGCGCCATGGAAGCACAGCGTTTATTGATTGAAAAAATGTGCGCTAAATAAATTGAGGTCCACTGCAAGAGAAACTAACCCAGACATCTTTCAACAAACCAAAGAAAACATAAATAACTCTTGCGGCTCATCGTAGATATATTAACAAAGAAATACATTTCGCAAAAAAATTCTAAAAAAAAAAACTGCGACATTCACCAAAATTTGTATTCAAATATTTACAAACAAATACCGTGATATTTATTATTAATTAAATGACTAAGTTTAATTAATTCCTTTATTAAAAAAAACTTGAATAATTTGATTTCGAACCTAGTAACTATTAGAAATCAGTAGAGATGTAATCGGGTGATCTTTTTGAGTTTAGCCAATTGATTGCGATTGATTTTGTAATTTAAAGCCACAATAAGCAAGCAAACAAACAAACGGTTGAACAAATGAACAAACGATCGTATGAACAAACGAACGAATGAACATCCAGGAAGATGAAGGCAGGCGTGAATGAACAGAATTGACCTAATGAACTTTTTTATTTGGTCGACGCTTTCTTTTGCGCCAGACAGTCACGAATAATTTAATAAGAGACAGTCCCAACCGCTCATAAATCCTCCATTTGTGTTTCTTATAAATAACAACGAGCAGTGTGCTGACCATAGGTAGAAATATTCGAAATTTATTTCCGTTTAAGAAGGGAAGCATATCAGCTGTCCAAATTGTCGGGTCTGCTGTCCAAATTGTTATGTCCAAGATGTTGTATCTGTTGTATCCAAGATGTTGTATCTGTTACATCCAAGATGTTGTATTTGTTACATCCAAAATGTTGTATCTGCTGTGTCCAAGATGTTATATCTGTTGTATTCAAGATGTTGTATCTGTTACATTTAAAGTCTTATATCTGTTGTATTCTAGTTGCTATATCAGTTAGCCAAGTTGTATCTGTTAAACAAATTGTTAGATTTCTATCAAAGATGTTATATCTTTATATAACATCATTATGACAACACACTATACATCAACGTCATATAACGCAACAACACATCATCACATATGCAACACATTACATATCACATCACATAAAAAATATAACATCCCATCGTGCAAGGGCAGCGTTGTAACATTACATTTCTTCCCGAGGTTATCAGCCAAGTGTACACATGGATGCCGTCTTAAGTTTGGTCAACAATTTAAATCAATCTTCTATCGATTGCAGATGGATGTGTGGGCATCGCTATGTTCGGAGAGTAAGTGAATGGGTGAGTGAGTGAGTGAATGGGTGAGTGAGTGAGTGAATGGGTGAGTGAATGGGTGAGTGAATGGGTGAGTGAATGAGATGAATGATATAATATAATTAAATGATTTGATGAAGCGATTGTACTTTTTTACAGGCTGGCAGAATGTGGTGTGATGAAGAGAGATGGATTGGAAGTGTTGGATATTTATTTCGCTCCAGCCCTTCAATTTCTTTGGGGAATGTTGATGATAACGATGATATTGGTTGTGGTGATGGCAATATTGGTTGATAATGTACTTGCTGCCGCAATATCGTTGCTCATATCGCTATAGATTTTCATGTTCGTTCATGTTGCTCCCGATGGTTGAGTTGTAGGTAGGTGAAGAAGTTGCAAAGTTCCCGGTTCCAATTGCCTTTTTTTGTTATTTAACTTTGTTTTTGTTTACAAAACAAAGTAACGTCTTAGTGACGAGGATGACGTAATTGTGAGCTGATGTAACCAACGCCGGCGCATAACATTGTAAGATTACAAATAGGCTCGCACTCCAACACCACGTTGGCCGAGTAAATAAAATAGACTTTCATTCCATTATAAATATAACAAATGAGTCCCCGCTTATCACGAAAAAACAGCCAAAAATGGAGAACGAAAATGTTACGATCACACACACATACACATAAATATGTGATTGGGTGGTGCTCAAGTAAAACACGCACGGTACTTCACTCAGATAGAAGACACACAACATACTCATGTACACTCACGAGGTACACGTACACACCACACATACATTTACATACAATATAATTATACAATGTGCGTTCAACACACACAATGTGTACATGTTTGCGTGTACGCGTATCATATACTGGAGATAAATAATGGCTCACTGTGACCTCGCGTACACAGAGGGAGAGTGACCGGAGCCGTTATTAAACAATAGCTCATGAACAGACACCACTAATGCCAAAAGATGCGATACATCGCTGCTATTTATGTTAACAATTTCAAGAGTTATTATTATACAAATTAAGATATCCACTTTTGTAAGGGGATTGGGCAAACGCACGCACCCACACACACCCACGTACAAACACACACACACACACACACAAACTAGAGTGTTCCTGGATGGTGACTACACGGAACCTCCCTCCTATCTGCTGCCTCCATCACCCATGGTCGAGGAAATCAACGACTGCTCGTGCAACATCTCCTAGCCGTCATCTCCTCATGTAGCCACATTCCTCATCGTCACCATCATTTAACCATGTCATCATCATGTGAACCATCATCGTCGTCATCATCATCATCATCATGCGAACCATCAGTCATCATAATCGCCTCTACACTTCCACGAACAATCTAATACCAAGTGAATCTCTACACGAGAAAGAATATGGAATATAGTAAATGATTTTGACGGATGGATAGATGGATCAATGGAGAGATCGACGAACAGATAGATGGAGTGAACGTATTTGATGAATGGATTGTTCATCCAGCCAATGTTCATTGGCTGGATGAACGATGGATGGATGTATGAATAGGTACGGATAGCTGGATCGAATGATGAATGAACCGATCGGTGGTTAGAAAGGATAATATGATGGATGGACAAGCACCCACAATTGCATACATAAATTTATGATGAGCAAGAACAAATGAAATGAACAACTGAACGAATTGAATAGATGGATGAGGAGTCAAAACGTCTCTTTTCAATAATTTTATCTTCCTTTATGTCACTTCTCACGTGCGTCTTCGGAAAAGCGTTTGTTAGAAAAATTATCTTGCATGATAACGCTCATCATCGTCATCGCTCACCTCCTCGTCATCACCAACCAAAATCCTTTTCACAAGTTGTATTTAAAAAGCCTAACATCACCGTTTCCACTCGTATCATCGTCGATCACCAAAATCGTCTGATCCAATGATTAACATCATATCAACTTGTTCTAGGATGTCATATTAATACGTAGGTTAAAATAGTTAATAGTAGATGAAAATTATCGGCTTCCAAGTTGCGAAGTTATTTTGATGACATGTACGTACGTAGATTTGTTCAGATTGAATTAGGAGATTTAGATCGTAGCGCTAACACAATCATATCGTTAATGATATTCAGCAGATTACGATTTGTCGTTGCTATCACGGCTGCCATGAGTAAGAGTTACAATAATATTAATGCTAACAACAGCAACATACACATTCGTTGTAGCCAGGAAAATACTCATGGAAAATTGTATAGCAATAGCATTGTAACAACAATGTAATGCCACTGAATCAGAACATTAATATATCATTGCAGTTTCTTTAAAAATTGTGAAATTGTTGGGTGGCATGAATTAATAATGCAGCAGAAATAATATCAAGTCATCACAGGCATCAGATTATTTTAGCCAATTTACACAAATTCGTTATAAATTATTTTTCATGAATAAAATGTGAATTTGATGATTTTGTATGCCAAGATTGATGCATGAATTCACCACCATGCAGCCAGCCAGCAAGTTAAAAAACACAATCATTCAATTATTATTATGTCAACGAGATATTAATTAAACCTTTCAACATTTCAATGTATGTACGTGTATTTTTATATAGCAATCTTACGAAGCAATCCAGTTTGACAACTTTTCAACTACTGATGTCATTTCTTCATTTTTTCTAATATTTATTTTCTTAGGATATGTTTGTGTATTATTGAATAAAATATTTCAATTTTTTAAAATTAAAATTTCAATTTTATGAACTCAGTATTTTTACGTAGATTAGTAGTATGTTATCGAATCCTAAGTAAAACATGTTGAGAATTAATAATTTTCTGAAAAAATAGAAAAAAAATTACTAAAAAATTAATGTGTCAAAAATTATTGAATGGAAAAATTATACAATCTGGTGGGACTGTTTGATGAGGTCCCTGTATGAATCAAACATCAGCTTGGCATGTTCTCTGGCCTGAAGTAGACTCTTGTTTAAAACTTCTTTTGAAAGAAATGAGTTTGAATGCATCGCAATTACATTAAACTTCCCATTATTGAAGACAAAAGTGACGCCTGGATATTGTGACTCTTGGCTTAAAGTGGGATCTATTGTGATCGTGTCATCGACTTTATTGAAACACACACTCACAGCTGCAAAAAGTTGTTTCATAGGTATGCAGGCGTCCAATAAAGCTAAGCAGGTAGCATTGATACAACAAGCCAACAAAGAACCATCATCTTCTAACTCTTGCAGTGCAATTGTCAAATTTGTTCTTGGAAAATTTTTTACTAGAACCGAACACTCACATATCTGTTGTATCAATTTCTCCATCGTTCTTTGATTTTTTGCTTTTGATTCAGTTTTATATTTGAAAATGATATCAACGTTCATTTTATCAACTTGTTCTTTTATTATTTTGACATCTAGAGGTCCGTTCACGGCCGCAACCACTGACGTCTGACCATGCTTCAGCTTCACGGATCCATCAGATTTTGATAAAAAGGCAAGCCGGCAACTAGATTTACGAATTTCAAGCATTTTGTAAAGATTCAACGAAATAACCGCTAATTGCCGGCTTTTTTATTTAAGCACAACAAACCCGGACACGAGGTAAACAAAAACACAGTTCACTTTTAACACCATAGATGTTATAATGTAAATAAAATTGTATGGGTTGGTCTATGGTACTTTATTTGCACTGTATTTAGGTTATATTTAATTTGCACTTTACTCTATATATACGGTATTGCATATATATATATATATATATTATACAAAACTGGTCCGCGATATAAATTGCTAAGTTTTTTCCTAATTCGTTAGGAATTAGGAAAAAACTTAGCAATTTATATATATTATACATATATTTCTATCATAATCTTTATTATTCTTTAAAAATCAAACTCTGACTGAAGCAATATTTGTTATGACAAAATAATAAAAAGAAAAAAATGAACAACTTGTAGTAGAAAAAATGAAACGTTGAGTTTTTGAGATATTTTTACATGAAAAAGGAACCAAGTTAAAAAACTATTGAACATATATATAGAATATATATTATCTTATATATGCACTATTGAATAAATAAATAATTTTATTCAAAGTTAATAACTATTATAACTATAATCCATTCATCCAAATCATTTTTATGACGATATATTGGTAAATAAGTAGGAATATATCAGAACAATATTTTCATAATACATTTTATTATAGATTGAATCATCTAAACTTTCAAAACTACGAATCCAGGTGTCTCCCGTTGTATAATGTGTGTTGTGTGTGTATGTATTACAAATTTTTGCAATAAAAGACGATAAAAAAAATTTTTTAATTTGAAAAAATAGTAATAAATATTAAGTTAAGTCTGTATGTTAAAAAATGATGATAAAAATAAATGTATTTGAAAGTTTGAGATAATGCAAACAATGACGATGAAAGTCGAACAGGGGATTATTAAAAGATGAAGTAAATAAAATAAATGATTGATCACAAGTTGTAACAACAAACAAACGAACAAGCAAACAAACGTACGAACGAACAAACAAACAAACAAGTTTCTACATTTAATAATATATTTGTAAACTAATGCAAGCGATTAAAATGAAACAAACTGAAACAAATAAATTGAATCTCTAAATATTAGAATTAAAATGAAATATATACGTCAATCATGATTAGTTGTCGATTAGAAATATTACAACTCATGTTCTCTAGACGTTAACAGCGTACAGAAGACAGACGATGAATGAATAAGAAATTAAATGACAACTAATTGGACTAATTAAATTGTAAAATATTAAAATATAAAAAAATTACATAACGAAGATTGAAAATGTAAGACTACTGCATGATAGAGGAAAACTTTGAAAAGTTAATACTGAGTAGAAAGGTTGTTTAATAAATTGACTTTCACGCACACCTCCATTCATGCCTGCACGCACGCACACACACACACTGACACACATACACACACTGACACACACACAAACACATATATAGAGAAAAATGAAATGATGAAAGGCACAAAAATTTAATCTTTTATCCGAGAGAAAGTGCAATAACATCGATTGATTGATTGAACGAACGAACAAATGAATGAATGATTGGTGCACCAATACATGCCATAAAACAATTAGGTTACAATAATGAAATCGAAATCTTTAAATATATATTAACATTAAATAATTTTAAATGTATTGAGATGTCTTCATAAATGAAAATAAAAATCATTATAAACATATTAGAACACACCTTTAATAAAAACATATTCAAACATCTGTACAATCGCATCGAGAATTGCAAAACGTCGAATAGAAGTTTCAGAAATTCAGGTAGGCAACCAGTTTTCTATCATATTGGATTCCAGAACAGCCAATGAACAACAGAGCCCAACTTACACTGCTGACAAACATTGAATTCAGCAACCCGTCCGATTGAACGTCATATTCAAGAGAACTTTAGAGACCAAATGAAACAAACGAACGATGCGGAAAACATAAGCAGCGAATATAATGAAAGGATAGAAAATGATGAAGGGCTGATAGGTAATTCGTTCAAATAATATTTATATTATATTATTTAATTTTTTTAAATATTTAAATCATTCAAATATTCAATACATTAAAGTTCATCGCTTTCGCAGACAAACAGCAACCTTAATCATTCATTTGGAAGAGGAAACTGATAGGAAAAACTTTCATGGTGCAGGTTATGGAAGAGTTCAAATGAAGCAATAGTCAAAATAAACAGACCCGTACGAGCATAAACACATAATTATAAAAACATAAAAATATATATATATATATATATATATATATATATATATATATATATATATATATATATATATACATTATAGTTATAATGCAAAAATATGTACATCATGGCATGCACACGCAGACACAGTAGGAACATACGCATAGAAAAATACGCACATACGTAGGTGCAGCTCGCGTATGTGTTACGAACATGTATAAAATTAATTCATGCAATAAATTCAAGTAAAAACATCAGTTTCAAATCAATCAACCAATCAAATAATTAATCAATTCATCAATCAAGTAAATACTATTTGTACGATCTGTACGACAGCTTACGAATGTACGCAGCTCGATTGTGTTATTATACCCTAGTGCACACCATTAAAATTTCGAATTATTTCCTCTTCAAATAGAACTGATCAGCGAGATGTCTTAATGATGACGTGTCAATGCCTATTGGATACAATGTAAGTTTGCTTTATTCAATTTAAATGCGTGTACGTGTGTGTGCGTGTGCTTGTACGCGTGTGTGCGTGCATGTCAGAGACGCACCGAGGGGTCGACTTGGCCGAACGGTTGGGCAAGACCTGATATTCCGCTTCGGCCGAATAGCCGAGTAGTGCAACTCCAGTTGAAAGCATCACATTTCTTTATTCCAGAACAATGATTGTTGAATATTTAATTAGCGGGAAATCTGTTTTGGCCATCATGGCTGTTGAAGTTGAAACATCTGAATTTGAACAAGAGATTAAAAATTATCTTCTCGATGAAGAATTGTTGAATAAATATTAATCGCCTACTGTTGCTTTCAATTTATTGTTTTTCGTTTTTAAAAATTAGATTTTTTTCAAAATAGTGGGATTTTTTTCTTAGTACTCTGCCGCCGAAGCAACTATTAGGCCATTCGACCTTCGTTCAAATCCACTATTCGGTCCATGTTTCGCATATATGCAATGCATGTTGGTGTGGGTGTTTGTAAGAATTGATGCTTTTAAATGTGCGTGCGTGTGTCTGTGCCACCATATACCTAACATTAAATACCTACACACATACACACACACACACACACACACATACACGTACACACACACACGTACACAAATGTTAGTGTGCATGCATGCTTACTGTATAATAAATATTGAAGAAAATATTGTATGTCGAACAGCCTCAGAAAACATTAAAAATATACTCCATTATAAATACGCTGAAATGACGATGCTGACAAAAATAATGATTGGAGAAGATGGCAATGAAGATGATGATGAATAAGAAGATGAGGATAGTGATGCAATGCAATCAATGATTATGTTTCCAAAAAGAAACCCGCTAATGAGTGTGATACTTTTGATGATGATGAAATGTTGATGGTCGGAGATGATGAAGTGATGATGATGATGTATGATGATAAGGAAGAATGCAAGTTTGCATGTTCTGATCATTGATTGGTTACCGAAGTTTGAATGAGCGCACGGAGGAAGTGAGTGGCAGCTGATGGATGGATCGAACCAAACGAGACAACATCGCTTCAGAAACCTCTGTGTACCTGTATGTTGATCTGCTGCACTGCTTGTGGTTGCTGTGGTTGATGTGGTTGTGGCTGGTGTGAGTGTTGCTGTGCCAGCTGCTGTTGACTGCTTTTCAGCTTGTTGTAATCATTTGAATGGAAGCCACTGAAGGTTTCATGGCTTCGTACGTGATTGCGAACTTTGAGGTGGTTATCATCGGTGTGTTGTTTGGAGGAGGGAGAGTGGGATGATCGAGTGAGTGGATGTGGCGAGTGGTGATGATGATGAACCGAAGATGGCGAGTGATCGCTTCTTTGTCTATTGAAACTTTCCTTGTGTCTGAGGAGGTTGGTTGTTTGTTTGTGCTACAATGTTGACGTTGATGTTACAATGTCAATGTTGCTTGATATTTCAACTGATTTTTGTCTCCTTATTAGACCGCTGCAACCAACGCGGAGTTGCTCGCCTAATCTGCACTAGTTGGAGCTCACTTCCCCACATAGTTGCAAGTAAATTTTTTGCGTAACAACGTCTGCACGGGCACGGCACATGACGTGATGTACAGACATACACTTGTTTGTACGCGTAAGCTCAGCATCGTACACAAAGTGCATGATAGTCTGCGAGTTTCAGACTAACAGCATCCGAAGAGAGTCATTGAACAACGACAACAAATAATATGAACAGTAAGCACAAGAACTCACTTCAGAGATCTGCCGTTGAATGACGATGATGGCGCAAGACCACCATGTTGTTGTTGCTGCTGCTGCTGCTGAGGCAGTGGGGGGTGGGTGGCCCGCCAATAAGATTCGAGATATTCAGACAGATGATCACAGGCCTCATCTAATTGGTTCTCGTCCAATATAACGTCAAACATTTCCTTTTTTAAGAACGTCGTAAATGTTGTTGGTTTGTTACATTGTTTGTGTTGAAGAGAATTCAGTAAGTTGAACAGCAACACGTTAATAGATGATTAAACTATTACTACGATTATATCATTATTATCAATATATCAATGTTATAAATAGCTGAGAAATTGCAGCAAAATAAACGACAGCATCAACATGATCAACACTAACTACAACATTATCAACAAAAACATCAACATGGAAAGCATCAACAACAATATCAACACTTACAACAACCAACGCAGCACTAACTAACTGGATTGCACTGATTGAGTTTCTCAGCAGACATCAGTTGCACATTCATGTTGCGACTCTGTGACTTGCCTCTAGTTTTTATCAGCTTCTGCAGAACCTATAACGGATTCACAAATATCAATCACGACAGCTTTCGACATTGGTTGACAAAGTACCATAACAATAACACATACGCAGAGAAACAATAGAAACAATAAAAATAATGGTGTATAATGGATGACGAACAGCAATCTACAACGTCTGCTACAAACAAGATCTGTTATTGCCATAAACCTCCTCACTCACTCAAGTTTCCATCAAACATTGCATCTTATCAGGCTCATTTTTGACTTTGTAGCAGTTCATTTGAATGTTGTTTCAATTTTGATTTAAATTTACACAAACGTTCTCTAAATGACCGATAAAATAACATTCATCTAACTCGGAAGCATGCACTAAACACAGCGAATCAGTTGAACGAAGCAGGCCACCAGCCGCAGCACGCATGATACTATTTCAATTACTACTGCTGTCACAGAAGCTACCACTGTTACTACTGACCTTTTGGGAGGCGATCTTGATGTACACGATAATTGGTGACAGTGACGTCTTGGTGAGTTGTGAGGGGTGGTTGATGGTGTCGCAGTCGAGTACAACGAGCTGTAGGGAGCGAGATAGCTCGAAGATTCGCTCTATCTCTCCTTGCACTTCAGCTGGTTTCATAGGAGCAAGCAAACGTTTAAGAACTCAAATGTGAAGTAAATGTGCATGTGTCTGTTTTATGTGTTTGTGTGTATGACGTTAAAACTACCAAACATAACAGATGGTGGAGTGCTTGGAAGGTCTGATGGTAGAGTGCTTAGAAGGTGTAGTCGGGTGGAAGCTGAAACTGACCGCCAGGCAGAAGAAATATTTAAATAAAGTGTAACGGGAATATGATGTAGTAAATAAAATTAGAGAGTTTTAGTAACAGTAACTTGGGTATTGCAAATGTTCTCCGCACAACATTTTAAAAAAAGACTTTTTTAGGTAAAGCACTTTATTTTATAAGTTTTTTCTTGTTTTTTTGGTTTTGTTTTTGTTTAAAAAAAATCATAATCTGACAGACACGCAAAACAATATTAGAAAATAAGTGTTGCAATCAACAGTTCATCAATATAAACACGCCTGAAAACATCTCCATCCCCATCAGCCTACACACCACACCACACGCCAAAGAAGAAATGGCGATCCTGATTTTATCTATATTCCTATATTCCATTCTATATCTTGCAAGGAAGAACACACGTTTATTCAAACGAACGGTCGAGACCGATAGATAAAAAATATTATAAACAAATATCGAGGTCGCCGCGCTAAAATCAACTACACAACCACACAAGCGACCACATAGCCAACTAACCAACTACACAACCAACCATCCAACCAACCACACAACCAACCAACCACACAAACAACCAACCAATCACACACAACCAACCACAAAAGCAACCACACAAGCAAGCAACCTATTGAAGATGATCTGCTGTTGGCCCTCTCCATGATAGCTCTCTTACCCGGGTTGTTCAGGACGGATCTCTTGGCCAATGAAATATCAGCTGTCACTCGTGTCACTGTGATCCTATGCAAAGATTGGTTGATTGTTTGATTGGTTGACTGATGATTGCCAACCGACCAATCAACAACAACAAGCAACCTATTTTCGAATCGATGTTTCAAGAAATCGAACAACGCCTTCTGCATCATGTCTGTGACCTCGTAGCCCTTGAGCGAGGGACCAATGAAGATGACAGGCCGCATGGATGGTACCACTTCGTAAGGGGGGATCGAGTCCATCTGACGTCAGGTAACAAGTGTCATGTCATGTCAACATTGTCTAAACTCATGGCGCCGTCAGTGAAATTGTCCAGGTTTCAAAAGTCGAGACATCATTAGATTCAACATTAAAAAATGAAACATAAGACCAAAAAAATAATGAGATAGTTACATATCAAATACACAAATAAATATTAAATGTAAGAAAAGTTATGGATAAAGAAGGATCACTTTTTTAAAGAATGGTTTCCTCTTTTCCTTAGTATTTGCAGTTGGGTTTGTGCTGTTGATGGCGGTAGTGTTGCTTGTGGTGGCTGGTTGGTTGCCGACCTCATCTTCATCATCATCGTCCCCAATATCAAGAGCCGGTTGATCTGACAGTGGTGTATTTAAAATTGAAAGACGCACAGGAACTTAGCATTCAACAACAACAACACATCATTGACAACAACGAACAGATAAAATCAACGACAACAACATAAGAAACCTGGCGACGGCGGTGTTGAACTTCGAGATGTTGTTGATTTGGAGTTGAGCAGATTATCAACATTTGAAGCAGTGTTGTTCTTACTGTAATACAATTATCAAATTCATCACATCAAATACATCAAATCAAATTTAGAGATACTACGTTATTAGGATGACAGGGAGAATCAATTAATTAATAATGACACTTGAGATCTAGATTTGGTACAAACGGTTGAATAACCCGTGAACAGCTGCACCGAAAAGATAGAGAAATATAATAATAGTAGTTTGGATGCACAGGCATAGCGGCATTAATGAACAGGATGAAGCAGACCAACAAACGAAAAATGCACGCATTACCGTTGTAAACAGAGGCACCTGTCATTAGAAAGTTTTAGTTCTAGATATAAAATGAATAGCAAACAAGAAATCTCTCATCCGAGGTGCAAAACAGTACAAGTTCAGTCACTGCAAAAAGAGAGGGATCTGCCAGCAAAAGAGTTTTCCCTGTATGAGTCTCAATCGTTTTGGCCTGGGACATCATCTTGCATTGAGAGGTTTCATATATAGGCTAGGTTTCTGCAGCACAGCAGTAAGTGGAGTGTGTAGATGAGAGGAAGAGGGTACGCAGGATACACAGAGGATATCTGTGGGTCTTGGGCAGGATGGTGAATGATCCAAAGTGAGATAGGAAGTTAAAACTAGAAAAATAAACCACAAAGCCAACAAACACTATAAAACGAATTTTTCGCAGATTGAAAAAAGCACAGCAGGTTAAATAATAATGAACAACAACACCACTAAACACCACCACAACAGCGCCACTACAACGACACCACTACAACAATAGTGACAAATATAATGGCAGAAAAACAAACTTTTTAGTGTTTTTGGCGTTGGGTTGACTGACTTGTTGTTGTTTGATGGTTTCCAGCTTGGTGGGGCTTGGAATGAACCCTACATCAGAACCTTCTCTCACCAACCGACCTATCCACCATTCGTTGTTGAACTTCTGTTGTTGTTGTTTGGTTGTTGTTGTTTGTTGTTAGGTTGTTGTTGTTAGGTTGTCGTTTTGTTGTGTACATGAAAGAAACGTTTCAAAATTGCAAATGCATCAAATAAAGAAATATGATAATAATTCATCAGACACTAAAAACCAAAAAGTTGAAGATAAAAAAATGATTGATTCAAAATTAAACCACATTGAGCGGCAGAAATATCATGAACAAAATTGATAATTGAACAAAACCTCTTGATCATTATATACTTGTACTCATATCTAACTCCAAACTGATAGTGAAATCTTAAAACAAAATGATTGAAAATGAATTCCATTAGAAAAATTTAACAGAATAGGAACATGTGCAAATAGTCTGTAAAGTGAAAGAGGCTGACCTCTTTGATGTGCAGAAAGTCCCTGATAGCAAAAGAGACAGCAGTGTTGGGCACTGGAGGAGAGTCAGTTGAACCATCATAGGCGACATTCGTACGGACTGCAAATGCAACTGGTTTGTACTGCAGGTTGTTATTGCGTCGTGCCATTAAGTTTGTTGTTGATGAACGAACATGAGAACATAATATAAATGCTCGCTAATATATAAAGAACCCAACAAATTATCTAAAACATCAGCTGGATAGGCAGAACAAATTAATTAATTCGATGTTTGTTACTCTGGCTCGTTCCAGCAGTAGCATGGCATGCTTCTTCTTTTCTTTGGCAGTCATCACCTCCTCATCCACTTCCACTGGGAACTCATTTGAACCCTGACTCAATGAACTTCCTGATTTCTGTCAAAGGAGTTCAAAGGTCAGTCATTTAGAAAAATGAGGTGTTGTGCAAACGTTGTGAGTGTAAGTTCATTGAATTGTAAATCTTTAAAAATCAATTTAGGAGGGCTAATCTAAGCCTGAATGAATTATATTGTGACTTGAAAATATATATTACATACACACGTATATGAAACAATGTATTAGATAAATTAAAAAAATTAGCTTGGAAAGGTGAAGTTATAAAAATCTGCAAACCACAAACTACTTTTATTATTACTTAAACAATTTATGCTCTCCCATTTGCGTTAAAATATATAATATATTACATAATAAAACATAATAAAAAATATTATAACATAATATATAACATAATAAATAATATGAATATATATTATAACCATGAAAATAATAATAACAATTATAAACTATATATCCAACATTACAATAAAAGCAAAACATAATAATCTGTAATTACAACGTAATAATACAAACAAAAAAGTTCCCCTACCCCGTGTTGGTGCGCATTTGTGCACATTTCCCACTCATTAAAATCCCAGTCTGCCCATGGTGGGGTGAAACCGAAATCTTCCGGAGTTTTTATATCCATGTTACCCACTTATATGTTATATTATAACTACATTTATGTTAATATTATAAATCAAATGCTTTCTCTCTCTCTCTCTCTTTGAATTTTTTTCTCCTTCTTGAATCTTTTACTTTCGATAAAACGAAAAAACTTGAAAATTTTCAAATCAAAGTGCGTTATGCGCAATAAAATATCCTAAAATTCTTAAACAAAAACAAAGAAAGAGAAACAAAAGGTGTATCATCCTATATGGGAGATATGTTGAGAGTGTGTGCTCCTTGGCTCCATGCAAGTTGTGCAGTAGAGATGCAAAAGTTGCATGCCTCATTCATACAATAAACTAGTATATAATACTATCTATGTATATAAGGATGTAAGTTTATGCGCGTGCGTGCGTGCGTGCGTGCATTTACAAAAACAAACTCATAATACGTCCATATAAACAACATTTCAATAATTTTTAATTTTGAAAGGTATAATTTTTAACAAAAATTCTATATAAATAGAATTATGGATAAAAATAGCTATACTTAAAATTGAAATTAATTGCTTGAATGGAGTAAAATAAACAGACATTCTCTCTCTCTCTCTCCCCTCTCTTTCCCTTTCTCTCTACTTTCATACAGAATTGTATGAATTCTACAGAATTGTTGGCATTAATCTTTAAAGTTTGTCTTTTCAATTTTCCTTACTAGAATTTTTTGGAAATCCAAATTCATCATGAAAATGTAATATATATATATATATATTGGATTAAGACTGTCATCAATAATATATATATATATATATATACACACATATATACACTCGTTAATTTACATAGATACATAAATTCCTGTATGATATTAACAAATAAAATTATTGTTTCTATGAACATATAATTTTTATAAGTTTCTTATTGTAACACAGGATGAAATGTTTATAAAACTGTATTGAATGCTATTTTTATTAACATGTTATTATATTATATTGTTATTATCATTATTATTAAGCAATTGTTGTTGTTGTTATTATCGTTATAATCATTGCTATTATTATTGTTTTTATTATTGTTATTATTTTATTATGAATTACCTGTTTAACAAACTTGCAGCATTCAGTAGAATCATCCTTCTCCAAACAATTCATTTGTATCTAAAAATAATACAAAGCATCTTTTTCATTTCAATAGCAATAAATTATATAATTTTTTAATTTTCTATAAAAAAATATTTAATATGACAAACCCTGAATCGATAATAAACATTACCAGATAAATAATTTGAAAATCCTGATAATGTCATTACCTCAAACATTAAATTAATTTAAATTTTAAAATAGTCTTAAAATCTTCTTAAATGGTACCAACAGCAAGAGTAGTATAGCTAGTTAGTAGTTTTTCACTGATTTTTCATTTTTGTGATAATACTATTAATAAGTATGGTTAACAAATTAAAATTAAGTAATTAACCTATTTTGTCTTTACTACTCTTTATCTTAAGTTTATCTTTATCATTATGATAATATATCATATAAAAAAGAGTAAATTTAAATATATTAATATTAAAATTAGTTATATCAATAAGAAAAACCTTTGTGGAAGGACCCCTGTCGAATGGTAGATTTTTAACGCAGGAATGTTTGTTATGGTTGGTGTTAGTGACAGCAGAGGATATACTCATCATCACCAATTTATTTTTTTAATATTCAATTCATTATTACTATTTATTATGCTAATTATTACTAAGGAAATCTTCTGAATGAATTTATTAAAAAAAAAATTTAAAGATTTTAACCACCCACATTTTTGAATTCAATTGATTTGGGATTTTTAGTTAATATTAAAATTAAATTAATTGATAGGACATTTATAAGTAGTTTAGTAATTATTTGCAGTTTGACAAGGTTGGTTGGAGATGGTATGAAAAAATTGCAAACAATTTCATAAAAATAAATTGTGCATTTTTATTTCAAGAGATCGGCGGCGAATTTATACGATATTTCTCGTTTCTTTCAATAAAAAACTAAAATTAACTTAAATTCATTTTTTTATGAAAATAAATACTTAGATGGGTTGAACTAAACATCATCTAGCTGACCACAACGACACTGCAAACAAGTGTCTCACAAAGCATAATATTAGCACTGGACACCGGACACCACGCATTTAAAATATCAATTTGGATACCAAAGTAGTCATTTTAGGCATCGAGTAATTTAATAGTAGTATTAAAACTTAAAAGTGAGTAGACATCTACGTCATTTCGACATGAACCGCTTCTCAGAAATCAGAGACAGGCAGCATAAGTCCCTTGACGTTATCATAACGTCGTTAAGGAACCTAGATTCGTCTGTTATGAAACAAATTCATCTTTCATTGGAAGACTTCAAAAAATCACTTTGGGCGACGACACATCACTGCACATAAAATTGTATAATTTACATTACACATACACGTTAACAGAGCAGCTAGATGTAAACGATTTTCGATTAGATTAGACAAGGCACACAAACAATATCGCCGAAAATTTATTTCTGTTAATCAAATTTATTAAAAAACTGAACGCAATTATAAATACATCAAACAAAAATTTATAAAATACCTATAAGCAGCTGTTCATTAAGTAACTCAACAAAACAATAATCAACATTGTAACAAAAATATCACACCCTTAATTTCAACAATTATCATTATTAATGCCCACATCACATTAACTTCCAGATGCGATTTGTCTGTTGACTTTTTCGATAAGTAACTTTTCCAATCTTCTTTGCCTCCAGTAAACAACTGCATATGATAGCAGACCAACTGAACCAGCACAAAGCTCAAAAATCCAAAAGTTCCTTTCTTCTATATACACATTTCGTGGACAACTAAAAATAAAATTTATGACGATATGAATGTTCAGATCAATAAATAAGTGGAAGAATTCTTGATAAAGATATTTTTTTGAATCAATAAATGCCAAACACAAACCTGAGGTTAACAACATGAAGAGTATTGTTCACATTACAACTTGCTTTCAGCACATATCCAGTGTGTTTGCATTGTACCAGGTCAATCTGTGTTTCAAGTTTATAACAAAATAAGAACAAGATAACGATCGGTCAAATTATTGGCATTCTTCAACAAACTAATTACAAAATAAAAAGCAACAATTAGAATAACTAAAAAAACCTTTTCTTGAACACTACACTCGTGGCAGTCCTCATGATTTTTTGCCACAGCATTTCCTGAGCATAAATTACTCAGGTTACCTGTTGAAAGAGAGTATTGTGGAAAAATATTTTCTATGAAAATTATATGGCTAGTGTGTGTATGTTTAAATATCTATAAATGCCTGTATATTCAAGCATATATTTTAGCATGTGTATACAATACACACACACAAGTGTAGATGGTTGACTGTGATGGAGCATTGGATCACTAACCTCCTTCATGTAAGAAAGCCTCGGTATGTGCATCGTGTGAAATGTTGTTCTCAACCATCAGAACAACCAGTGTTACACTTTTGGATTCATGAAAATTTTAAAATAATTTTAGAAAAAAAAAATTAATTATTTATTTATTTAAATTAATTGATAAATGAATGAATTTTTAATAGTTTAATAATCTAGTTATTGAAGGACAATTGCTGCTTTTATTACAAAAGACCAGAGCAGACCTAATGAGGATAGCAATGACAGCTGCCATTCTCTTCTTTGTACAGAACTCGATCATGACAAGCAGCAGTGCAAATGAGGAAGCCACTTCTGAAAAAATTTGAAAATTATGAAATTATTCAGTTAATTAGAATTTAAAACTATGAAAATATGAAAACCATTCAATGGATGTGTGTGTGTGCGTGTGTGTATGTATGTGTGTGTGCGTGCGTGTGTGCGCGTGTGTGTGTAAATTAAGTTTTAAAACAAAAAATAAGGCAGAAACAATCTGCTAAGTTTTGATCACTACTGGGCTGGGCTAAGTAATCAAACTTTAATTACACTATCGGATAATGTATGATTCTAACAAATCCATTTTTGTGTTTTTATAAAAAAAAAACTTGGATGATTTTAAAATTAAAAATAGCTAGTTGTAGTAAATGTTGGTGTTGTAAGGTGTGAGCCAAATTTTTACAGTTGATCCTAACTTTTAACAAACTTCTAATAATGTGACATACATGAGCAGATAATGATCAACATTTCTATTTACAATATAAGATATAAAAATGTAAATAAATAAATAAGTTAATGAATTTAATAATAAAATAATAAATATTTTATAATTTTCAATAGGCAATAATAATAATTCTTAATAATTAACTGAGATATGTTATCTTAGTTAACTTTGAATGAAAAATTTACTTACTAACTTAATATTTTATAAAGTAAAATAATAATCGTTTCAATTTAACTTTTAAAACTTTTATCAATTCTTTTTTTATTAAATCATAAACTAAATAAACATAAAGCAATATATGTTTAAAAGTGAAAGCAATATGTTTAAAAGTGAGTTTTAATAATACGAGTTGTTCTCAACATTCAACGATAAATAACCAATGTTGTTTTTCCATTTTTTCGTAATTTGATTTATGTCTTATTTTATTGATTTATGTTTTATTTTGGAAACTTGTTATTGCATGCAATACATTTGTTGCGTCATCTGTGTGTGTGTGTGTGTTTGTGTGTGTGTGTGTGTGTGTATGTGTGTGTGTGTGTGTGTGTGTGTGTTTACAGATAGGCCTCTTCAATATCTTTGTGTTGCTTGATAATTAAAATGCTATACGAAAAAAACAATCTTTTATTTGCTCCTCAAAATTATATATTGGCGCTTTATTAATTAATTACCTAATTACCTGATTGTTTTTTATTATTAGTTGATTGAATAATTGGCTGGTTGGTTGATTGATTGACTGATTCGTTAATATTTATTCTTTCATTCATTCGTTCGTTCATTCGTTCGTTCGTTCGTTCGTTCGTTCGTTCATTCATTCATTCATTCATTCATTCATTCATTCATTCATTCATTCAGCTACCCTTCCAACAGCAAGATGAATCCAGCTGATACGTGCAGCATCTGGTGATTATACTAATTTTGCAAACATTGGGGTCTACTTATTTATTTACATTGTTAAACTTTTTTAAAACCTCCGCAACAAACATTATTGGCAAATGGTTTCATTATTTGGCAAATTTGTTTCTTTGTCGCTGCAGGTCACATGAAGATTTTAATTTCTATTTAGCCGTCAATTTGTTACGTATGTTGTATTGTGTTATATTATGTTGTGTTACGTTATAAACATAAACAATTTTAATCACGTGTTAAAATTTGTAATCACTTTTTAGCACATATTTGAAACTACGGTCAAATAAAACACCATTATTTTCTAATTACGCGATCAAAAAGCATGGGTTGAATCCTAAAGTGCACCAAATTGTTCTTCATCCTCGGTGTCCTGGAATAGGATGATGAGCTTAGGGCCGTACAAGTTATAGATGACTAATACCCTTTTTAGTTTTTTTCGAATTCGATTTGTAATCACTTTTTAGCACATATTTGAAACTACGGTCAAATAAAACACCATTATTTTCTAATTACGCGATCAAAAAGCATGGGTTGAATCCTAAAGTGCACCAAATTGTTCTTCATCCTCGGTGTCCTGGAATCGGATGATGAGCTTAGGGCCGTACAAGTTATAGATGACTAATACCCTTTTTAGTTTTTTTCGAATTCGATTGTTGGTAGACTTAGATTCGAATCCGGGAACTACAAATCCCGATTTTTTTAGATCCGTCCATTTCTTAATTTTTATTATTAATATTTGCAATAGAAATAGTAACATTAATAACTGTTTGATTTGTGTTTATAATAATAATAATAAATAAATAATAATGAAAAAATAATAAATAATAATAGTATTAACAACAGATGTCGTTGTCTTTACAAATACCTGCATTCTAACATGACTTAAAACAAAAGGTATTCTGTTCGTATAAAAATGAAATACTGTGAACAGAAAGAGTTGATTGCAGTTGTACTAAGTTATGTTGATGTTTTTTGTTGTTGTTGATGTCAGTGGATCCGAAACCATCGATGACAATGTATTCGTGACATCACTGTTGATGTTGTCGTTATTCATGGCGTTGGTGTTGTTTTTTGAAGTGCTGCTTTCGTTGAACGTGATGCAATTACACGGGCAACATTTGAGATGAGTGTTGGTTCTGTGGTTCAGGGTGGTTTTGTTGTTATCATTGACGTTGTTGCAACAATTTAAATTGGTGTTTCTGTTTACTTCTTTGTTGGTGACATCAGGCAAATTATTATTTAAGATAACGCAGTTGTCATTCATGGTTTCTATGAACTTAATGTTATAAGTTTCGTTGCTTAAGTTGCTGTCGGCGGCCATGTTTGAAATGAAGTTGTTGTTGATGCTGGTGTTGTTGTATTTGTTGTTGTTGATGATGTTGTTGTTTAGATTGTTGGTTACGCTGTTGTTGGCAATGTCGTTCATGTTGTTTGTGTAGTGGCAACAATATTCACTTTCATGACACTTTTGATTAATGTAATTTTCACATAAATTTCTTAATGATCTACCATCATCATCACTAGGTGGTTGATAAGGATGAGAAAAAAGAAAAAGATGACGATGAAGAGAATGATGATGATGCTGCTGGGAACCGGAATGATGATGGTGATGATCACAAAACTGCCGTTGATACAAATTATGATTAGGGAGATGGTGATGTTGAGTAGGATTGTGATGATGATGCTCTTTGGAACGATGAGGATGATGTTCTTTGGGATGATGAGGAGGATCGCTGGTGGGTGCCAAATGGTACCTGACAGCGGAAGTGAAAGAAGAGGAAGGACATACAGGTGGTCTGCTGGTAAAGAAGATGATGATAATATGATGATGATGGCGATGATGATGATGGTGATTTTGGTCCCGATTAAATGATGTTGATGAGAATCACGTGTATGGGGTTTAGAAAAATATTGTGTTGGTAATCAACTGTTTGAAATTTATAATTTTTCAAAATTAAAAAAAATTACGTAAAGTTTTGGTATCACAATGTTGCTAAAAATATAATATAATTGCAAATTTTTGAAGAAAAATTACTCTGCTAGATCATATTAAAATTTGAAAGTTCAACAATTGCGAATTTTG